AAAAAAAAAAAAAAAAAAAAAAAAAAAAAAAAAAAAAAAAAAAAAAAAAAAAAAAAGTAATGATAAAAATATTTAAATTCAGTAATTATAACTTAACCACTATATATTTTTCCATATCGATAATAATAATTTAAGGAAAGATTTAAGAGAATACGAAAATACTTTTGCAATCGACGAAACCTAAGCTCATAATTAAAGAGCATTAAGTTTCAAAGACTAGGTTCACGAGATAAAAATAATTAAGCAAATAAAAATTTAAAAAATGACAAATCCTTAGATCGACAATGTTTCACTTTGAAGATTTAAAACGAAAAATTAACAATTACGAAAAAGTAGGTTATCTGCCAATCCATCGTTTAATTTATACATTGAATCGATAGGATTAATTTATTTTATAAGTTTATATCTAAGAATCAGCACTGTCAATAAAAGAGACGTAGAAAGTTACTAGCAAAATGATGGAAAAAAAATCAATTTATACTGTACAATAACTATTTAATAGTCCTCTCTTCTTAATAATCATAAGCTTTTGTTTTTCGAATCAAAGGTCTGCTTTGAAAAACGACAAGAATAAATAAGAATAAAAATCATTTCATTATATATTCGAGTAACAAGTTTTGCATTTATTCTTTTCTTCAACTGATTTTTCTAAATTTCAATTTATTGTTTTCAGATTTTGTAAGTAAATTTTATTATAAATGTTTAATAGTAGTTTTAGTAGCAGTCATAGATGTTTAGAATAGACTTGATGTTCGTAGTGACGATTATTCGTAGTCAAAGACTCATAGAAATTTTTTTCTCAGATAACAACAAAAAATAGTTAACTGCATTTTGTCTTACTGAATAATGGAAAATGTAAATGCACATGTAAAGCTTGAAATTGGAAGATGTATAAATTGAAAGTGTTATCTGAGTAAGCATTGTTATACTTTTTTTCTTAGAATGTTAGCATAGAAAAATTAATTTGAAGTAGTATTAAAAGTTCAAGGAATGATCATTTCACGGTTAATTATTTATTAACTGGTACACTGCAGTCCAGTTGTTAATCAGAGTTACATGACGTAAAAATGTTTAAAAACGTAGACAAAGACAGTTTTACATTTTTTTAAATAACAGGTTATCATAATGACCTCATCATCATACTTGTCTCGATTCATTTGAGGATTCAACAATAGTTTCAAGTAACTTAATAAATAAAGTATGTCTACATGATAAAGTATATAAAGTACTTTATTTGATGTTTTTTTTTTTTAATTATTTACATGATCACTTTAACATTTACATCATAATGATTATATATAAAGATTTATATTATTTAACTTAATAGTAATCAACAATATACAAACGATGATTTTGCTTTAATCTGATGAAGGGGTTAATAAAAAATTTCTTTAAAATTTATAAATTACACACATTTATTTTACAAAATATGATAATCGTTTGTGTTTGCGGCAGAAATTTCTACTGAAACTTTAGTCACTTCCAAGTTGAAAATTGTCAAATTTTTAAGTTCACACGTTCGAAAAAATTCCAGTAGAAATTTCTAAAAAAACCTTACAATACACATCACTTAACAGCATTTATTCCTTATCTTTTACTATTTTTCTCTTTTGTCTTTACTTAAAATAGAGATTTAAAAAATTCCTCTCTAAAAATAGTAGTAGATGAATTAGTTTGCGGACTTTTACTTTTTTTTAAATCTGAATCAGTTACAATGTACCTGCGC